CCGCTTACATGGCTGTCAGTATACATAACATTTTAATGCACTATTTTAGAAAATCCAAATAAATAAATATAAAAAATCTACAATAAAGCAAAATGGCCAGATTTTAAACAAAGACAGTTCCAACCCTGCTGGGCCAGGCCCTGCCTCACATGCCTCCCCCAGGTGTAGCTCTGGGGGTTTCCTGGGGGTGACAATTTAGCCGTTCCTAATGCCCTGCCCCTTCTCTTATCTGAAGGTTGTCTACCTGGATTCTGGTATGAATAAACCAGTCTGTCCCCATCTTGGATGGGGACTTGATGTGAGGTAGGAGGTGAGCCTAATTGCCTCAGCCCCACAGAGGCCTCAGCAGCACACAAAGGTCCAATAAAGAGGTGTAAATAAAAGACACGTCCTGATACCTGGAAGCTATGAATGTGACCTTATTTGGAAATAGAGTCTTCGTAGGTGTAATCAAGTTAAAACAAAGTCATGAGGCACTAACCTAATATGACTAGGATCTTTATAAGAAGAGGAGATGAGACAGAGACAGAAGAAGAGACAGTGATATGACTGCAAAGGCAGAGATTCAGGTGATGTAGACACAAGCCAAGGATACCTGGGGCCACTAGAAGCTGAAAGAGATAGGAAGGATTCTCCCCTAGAGACTTGGGAGGGAGCATGGTCCTGCCGACACCTTGATTTCTGCCCACTTATAGTGATTTTGGACTTCTGACCTTCAGAACGAGAGGATAAACTTCTGTTGTTTTACACTGTCCTCTTTGTGGTCATTTATTACAGCAGTTGGCAGGAAATGAATTTGGTAAGTGAAATTTAGTGACTGAGATTCCAGTGACTACAGCTGGGTGACCAAGCATGAGGCGCCTTATAAATATCCCTTCTAGCCTTCACCACATCCTGTGGACAAGGGATGCCAGGCTTGGTAGAGTCTGGTGTCTGGGACCCTGAGTCCACGCACTGCACTTTGTAAGAGTGCACCAATCCTGTGCCCAGATTCTAGACGCAGGTTCCATAATCCTCTTCCAATAACTCCCAAGCCGGTGTATTTCAGAGTTCAGTTATCGCATGTGTTAATATTTCTATGGGGAATGATACATGCACTTCGCAAATGTGAGGTCAGGATTTATGGCCAAATGAATCTGAGAAACTCAGAAGTTCTCAGGATGTTTGGATTTGGGGTACCTCTGAGGGCTACGGAAATGCACCAAGCGCCCGGGTTTGCAGACGCACCGGGCCCTGGAAACTCACTTGCTCTCTTCGTCCAGCAGATAGAAGAGGCCAGTGGGCTTCTTGCTAATCAGATGGATGCAGCCGACATTGTCTGTGTAGTCGATGTTGTGCCATGAGATCCCTTCACTCTGGTACTCCTCCTGCAGAGTTTGGGGGGGTATCCAATAAGTTCATTATTTCATGGCTGTGTTAACAATTACACAGCACGTTACATATAAACGTGTTATATTTATGTATGCATGTACACATTTACATGTAGATGTGTAAGTAACAGAATACATATTATATCAACAGAAATGCATTAATAATTATGTAAGATTATTACATAAGTTAATAATTAGCACCATGAAATAGAATGTACATTCTCAAACATCTATCAGAGTAAGGAGCTTAAAATCATACTTAAAAGTCACCCAGGAGTCAACAAACTTTCTCTTTAAAAGGGCCAGACTGTAAGTATGCTGGGCTTTAAGAGCTAGATGGTGTCTGTCAAGATTACTCGGTTCTGCTGCTGTAACTTGATATGTAAATAAATGAGCGGGTTCATGTGCCAATAAACTTTGTTTATAAAAACAGGTAGTGGGGCTGGATTTGACTGTTGGGTTGCTGCTCTGGAACCGCAATGTCTATAATAGCCATATAATGTAAGTGACCTACGTAACTTCAAATTTTCTGATAGCCGCATTTTAAAATGTAAAAAGAAACAGGTGAAGACAACTTTAATAACATACTTACTTTAACCCCATATTTCCAAATCTTTGCGATTCACTGTATTTTACTCTTCCCTCACAACTCACTGGACAGACAGCCAGAAAGCATAATAGTAAAATCAGCTAAATATTTATATAACTCATCAGTTGATTTCTCCCATCAGAATCATCAACATGCAGGGTGACATGTGGGTAAAGATAGCTGAGTATTTAGTAGTGAAAAGACACATAATATAGATTATCGATATCACTGACTAAAGGAAATCCTTATAAGGCAACTCCATTTCTTTTCCATTAAACAACTTTCATGTTTGAGCAGAGAGAAGGTACAAAATTGACCTGCGGCCAAAAATATCCCTGACAGTTTGCCTCATCCCAGGCTGGGTGGGATTTTCCTGGACTTTCCCTTTTTGCAGAGAAAAATTCTGGGGCAGGTTTGCTGACAAACTGGGCCCCGAGGGAGATCCCAGTTCTAGCTCATCCCATCCTCTGTCGGGCTGGATGGGTGACAACAGCACTTCCTTACCTGCTCTAGTTTGAAAATGTGCTGGTTGAAGTAATACTGGAGCTGCTCGTTGGCATAGTTGATGCAGAACTGTTCAAAACTGTTCCTCTCGAAGTCCTCAAACCCAAAGATGTCGAGGACCCCGATGGACAAGCACTGGAGAGACAGAGGAAACAGTTGTTACTGGTGGGTCCCCTCATGGGAGCACCTGTTTGGTCATAAGGGTCCTGTGCTTGACTGAATGCTCTGCTGTTGCGGTCTTGGAATGTGTAATACTTGAACAAGGAGCCCAGGGTTTTCATTTTGTGCTGGACCCTGAGAATTGTATCCGGTCTTGTTCTCTGGGCTAGGAGGAACTGGACTCTCGCCTGACACTGGCTGCAGCCGCCTTAGCTCCCAACGTCACAGACCATCCACCTGTGTGGCACCATGGACATGGTCTCCCCTGGCCCAGCTGGGCGGACAGGTGAGGTGGGGGTAGGACACTCACTGAGACAGACTCTTCCATGTCTTTCTTATTGAGGAGGGCATGGTTGATGCGCAGGACAATCCAGTCAAACAGGGCACTGTACAGAGACTTGGCCATGGAGTCGCGGGCGGTGATGGCCTGTGGGCACAGAGGAGGTGTCACACCTTGGCAAGGCAGGCCCTGCACTGCACACAGGGGAAGTCGAGGCGGTAACTTTAAATATCCAACTCATCTGACACGCCCCTTCTCACTTTGCTCACCACCCTGTCAGCTCGGATGCCCTTGCACGTCAAAGCATGAACCATGAAGCCCTGACCCAGGGGCCTGTGTTTCAGCCAAGTCTTTCTCATGTGCCAGCTTACTTCTCAGAGCCACTGGGGACTGATGAGGTTAGAATGCAGACTCAGGGACGGCAAACTAGCCAGGAGGCCAAGCTAGTTTCGAAGCTAGGTCTCTTGCTGTTTTGGGAGCACCATGGGGCTAATATCATAAAAGCAGTAACTGGCTTTAACCATTTTTTAAAAGGCTTATGAAGGTTTAATTTATATACAAGAAATTCCTTTTTTTTATGTGCTTAGATCTAAATCGTGACAGATGTAGTCGGCTGCAATCAAGATCTAGAATGGCCCTCCCCATCCCCTTTGGTTTTATCTTTCTCAGGAAGCTGTGAAAATGAAGCCGTGAGGGATACAGCCCCATGCCTGCCGTCTTTCACTTAGCATGGTGCTTCTAGGGGGCGGCGGTGCTCCTGGGGTTTGAGGGGTTCTACAGAAACTTTCACATAACATTGCAGAGTGCCTCTGCCCGCGGGGGCTCAGACTGTGCCCATTTGAGCTACCCAAGTAGCTTCCACCAACAGCTAAAAATCCCCTCAGTGGCTAGGTACTTTCCTGCTGCCGTCCAAGCTGCAAGCTGTAGTCAGTATTGCTCTTGAGAAATAAAACACAAGAAAAACACACCACAAACATCCAGACCAAGGCAAAGGCCAGAGAGAGGCGCCTTATCAAGATTTAGGGACCCATGTAATGGTTGTAAAGGTTATATTCTAGCTCTGGGATCGACAATTTTTTCCTGCAAAGGGCCAGAGAATCAATATTCTTGGCTTTGCGGGCCAGATGGTCATTGTTGCAACTACTCAGCTCTGTGCTGTAGCAGGAAAGCAGCGTGTAAACAAACAGGCATGGCTCCATGCCAATAAAACTTTATTTACAAAAGCAAGTGGTGGGCCAGATTTGGCCTGTGAGTTGCAGGTCTCACATTCTCTGCTGGTGAGAACCAGCATGCCCACGGAGGAGTCAGGAACACAGAGATGAATACACGTGGCCCAAGTTCTGACTCTCAGATTGTAATTTGCTGTCTCAGCTGGTCTGTGCTGAGCCTGAGCTCACATGAGAACCAGAGGTGCCACCAGGGTTCTCTGTCACTTTCAGGGCAGGAAAAAGACCACCCGCTCTGTTTCCAAAGGACCTCTTTCTACTCGTGTTTTGGGGCCCAGTGCCCTGCACAAGCCTGGGGCAGTGCTCACCTCGCTGAGACTGTAGGGAAGGATGAGCTTGTCGTTGGCAGTCACTGTTTTTCTTTTGGTCAGAACCTCCACCAAGATTTCTCGCTTTACCTGTTTCAAGGTCAAGGAGCAGATAAGAGGGGTGGTGAAGAACTTGTCCAGTGGGTTCTCGTGTCATTGAGATAAGGCCTGAAGCCAGAGGAAGGCAGAAGGACCCCCAGCAGCTATGCCAGGAAGTGGGCCCAAAGCCCATCCTCACGGCTGCCAACCAGTGAAGAGTGTGTGCTATGCTCAGTGTGTTTCAGAATGATCACACCCACAGGCTTGCTCAGTGCCCATGGCTGACAGCCCTCAGTATACGGTTGCATAGGTCTGGGTGTCACTGTAGTCCTCGAGCCCACATACTGCTTGGTGACCTACATGTATAGTTGTTCCCAGACTACATGCAGGGGCTGGTGAGGGGCTTTTCCCTCCCTGACTACCAAGCCCCCTACACAAGCCAGCAGCAGTCCACAGTAGGGGCGGGGGAAGCTGTCTTGATGTCTGGGTACGTGTGTTCACTCATCTTCTTGTACACAACAGAAGCCAGGGCTCCTTCTTTAGGAAGAGCTACAAATAGAATGCATGCTTTGAAAACAGAGAGACTGAGGGCAGGGCTTCTCAGCCTCAGCACTACCAACACTCAGGGCTGGACCATTCTTTGCTGGGGGTTGGGGGCGTCCTATGCATTATTTAAAGTCAAGTGGCATCCCTGGTCTCTACCTACCAGAAACCCCTCAAGTTGTGACAACCAAAAATACCTCCTGACATTGTCCTTGGAGTCGAGAACCAGTGCGGACAAAGGGATGGCAGGTCCAATGAGAAGATGACCTCGCTGACCAAATTACGGTTTTAAAGAGCCTTTTACATGAGGGACAGAGGTGGGAGGTGACCCTGCCCGGGAGGGAGTCCCTCAGAAATGAGGAAGGGACACAGCGGAGATGGCGGGGAGGAAGTAAGCGCAGGCCTGGGTTTACAGAAGCACGGCCAACGCAGGAAATTCTAGATCCTCCGTGGCCATAGGCCCTGAGTTGGCCCGGCATGCTCTGCGGCAGCTGAGGGCAGGAAGTGTTACCTTTAGGAGCTGTGACAGCGTGTCCAGCACCTTGGGAGGCCCGACCTCCAGGCCTTCGTCTCGGCCTGTGGCTCTCTTCTTGTATGTGACGTTGCCCAGGTACAGGATGGCTGAGAGGACAGAAAAAATCCTAGGAGAGAAAAGGAGCCTCAGTTGGTGCAGTTTATCCAATTGTGAGATGACGGAACCTTCCATACAATTGGGTTGAATTCCTAACACCATCAAGTTCTAGTCAGAACATATGAAGTTTGAAAAAGGCTGAATCTCTCTGCCAGGGGCTCTCTCTGTGGAATGTGACTTAGTAGACAGATAGCTCTATTCTTTTGTTGTTGTTGGTGGATGAATAAAATTTATTTTTATGGAGACATAGCATGCACACTCAAAAAACCCCACAATTCCCAAGTGTAGAGATGAATTGTCACAAAAGGTACAGATCCTCGTTAACTACCACTCACTCAGACCAACAGAACATTCCAGGCCCTGGAACCACCCAGTCCAACAGAGAAACTGCTGTCCTGACATCTAACACTGTCTGTGAACTTGATATCTATGAAATTATATGGACTTGTATGAGGCCTGTCACTAAACAACTGTGATGTGGAGGTACGATGCATGTCACTGCGCACCGACTTGGTTTGTTCACCCTCGGTGCTACAGACCAGCATATCAGCCTCGGCACTGCTGGCATCTGGGGCCAGATCATTCTTTGCTGAGGGGGTGGGCGTCCTGGGCACTATGTGATGTTGAGTAGCATCCCTGGCCTCCACCCACCCTGCCTCCCACATACACGCAGTGTGACAACTGAAAATGTCCCCAGACAAGGCTCTGTCCCCCCTGGGGACAGAACCTCCCAACCCCCTGCCATGAGAACCACTGCTGGGTGTAGAGTAGTCTGGGAGTTGGCAAACTTGGGTTCATTTTTATACGGCCCCTGAACTAAGTTTTGATTGTTTTAAAAGTATTATTAAAAAGCAAAATGAAATGCAAAGAAAAACACGTAACAGAGACCCCGCAGCCCATGAAGCTGAAAATATCTACTATTTGGCCCTCTCCAGAAAGTTTGCTGACTCCTGCATGGATCAGATTGCCATTTGTTTATTAATTTATTTAATCTCCTGGCGTTTGGAGGTGGTTTCCAAGCTTTGGGGCTGTTATAAAGGAGGCTGCTGTGTGCATTTGTGTGCGTATCTTTGGGTGAGCAAATGTATGCATTTCGTTGTATACACATAACTGTAGTAGAAAGGACCAAATGGTTTTCTAAAGCGAGTGGCCTGATTTGCACCCTCCCAGTTCCTGCTGGATGTACTGTCTGTCCGGCAGGTATGGAGAGTACCATCTGTGGTTTTCAAAAATTAAAAAAAATTTAATGGTAGTAAAATACACATCATATAAAATGTACCTTCTTTACCATTTTAAGTGTACAGTTCCACAGTGCTACGTACCTTAACACTGTTGGGCAAAAGCCCCTGAGGTTTTAACTGGCATCTCCCAATGACTAAGATGAGAGTCCCTTTCCATGTGTTTATAGTCACTGGGATGCCCTCTTTAGTACTGGGGCATAAGTCATATCTCAGAGAGTGACCAGTTAGATCTAGGGGTACCGTGTGGGAGATGACAGGACGGCTGGCCAGCCCACTTACTGTTTCTTGGTGGCAGGGAGGAAGCCCACCATCTCCATGGCCTGCTTGAGTCTTTCAAAGTCATGCTTCAGGTCTTCGCCGTCTTCGATTTTCAAGTTATGCTGGAAAACAAAGTCGGTGACACTCTGGGTATTTCTGGGCCAATGAGGGTGGCGTGTGAGAAGGATTTTGGCTGGAACCGATGAGGCGGTGCCCAGGATGTGGGAAATGAATGGGCCCCTTTATGCAGCCTCCTCTGGGCCTCCCTGGAGCGGGTTTTGGGGCTGGAGGTGGCCAAAGCTGCCGGCCTCTGACCTCCCAGGAGTGCGTAAACAGCCTGAAGGGAACAGAGGTGGCATTTGTGGCCTGGGTTGGGGCTATTTACCTGGTTGAGGTAGAAATAATCTTCAGGCTGCTTGAGTTGAAATTCTTGTTGCTCTTCCTCGCTGACACCAAGTAACAAGTAATAAAACACGTGGTAGTTCCTGTGGGTCAAAATTAGGGGAAAAAAGTCATTTTTGGAGGCCAAGCAACAGCTACTCTTCAAATCACTACTAATGTTGCTTTGGAGACCAGGGAGGAAAAAGCACCTCAAGTCCATACAAATTTGAGACAATAAGTTGATTCTTATTATGTCTTAATAAAAACCCCAAAACATGAGCTGCTCCAGTGAGATTTCTCAGGGGTTGGGGTGGTGGGTTAGGCGTATGTCTCACTCACTGGTCAATGAGAAATGCCTCTAATGTAACCACATATGGCAGGAATCTGAGCATCTACTCAGGGTAAGAGCCCCAGGGAGGCACAAAAATAAACACAAAATGGTGACTTCTGAGGTGTGAGCATAAAACTCAGAGCCACAGGGCAGGCCTTGCTCCCTGGAGGGCTGTGCCACCGCCTCCCAGGGGAGTTTCCCGATCTTGGGATGTCTGCTCTCTCCTCTGTAGGGAAGGCAGACGTGATGCTCGCCGAGATCTCGTCCTACCTCTCATCCTTCTCCTGAGAGACCAGGCGAGACTTTTCAAGCAGATATTTTTCAACAACAGCTCTGTCATTAAAGGAAAAAGAAGAAATAAAATGTTACATTTTAATATTGTTTCCTTATAGAACTAATTTGTTACTATGGTAAAGCCAGCTGTGGATGAACTTCTTTAAACACAAGGTAAATAAAGATATGTACATGTAATTGCCTTAAATGTCATAAAGATAGTCACCCTGAATGTTGTAAATACAATCATACTAAATGCTGCAAATATGATCACCCTAAGTGCTGCCTCATCTTATGACTATTACTACTATCTATAAAAATAAGGAACCTGGGTTGGCCACTTCTGCTCCCCAGGCCAGATTCTGGGGGGCCGCTGCACAGAAGCCCGGGTGGCATCATGTGGGACCTCCCTCCCAGGGTACAAACAGGAGCGATTGTACCCATGTGTTCCCTGATGATATGGGAAGACCTCCCCCTGCTCCCACCATCTCCCCAGCAATTAAATGTTTCTCCAATTGACAATCTAAATATAAGATAACAGATTCATTTTTCTATTCTTTTTACAGCTTTATTGATTACCGATATATGATAAACTGCACATAAAGTATGCAATGCGATGTGTTTTAACTAGATCCTTTCATAATCCACATAATTTTTAAAAATAGTTTTATTAGGTTTAATTGATGCATGAAAAACTTAAAGTATGCAATCTGATGAGTTGTGACACATGTAAACACCCATGAATCCAACACATGATCAAGATAATGAACATATCCCTCACTCCGAAAAGCTTCCCTGGGCCCTGTGTCATTCCTCTTCACCACCCCCACAAAGCAGCCACTGATCAGCCCCACTTCAGTTTGGATTTTCTAGAATTGTAAAGAAATCGAATCATTCTGTATGTCTGCCTTCTCTCTTGGCCCGATGATTCTGAGGTTGAGCCACGTTGTAGCACGTATCAGAACTTCATTCCTTTTTATGGCTGAGTAATATCTTATATATGTGGACACACCACGTTTTGTTTATCCATTATCAGTTGATGGACACTGGATGGACATGTCCCCATAAGGCTGTGTGGGTGCTGGGGCAGGGACCAGGAATCTCTGCAGCCACACTATCAACACTGTCAGCAGTGATGGCAAATGTTCCAGACACTGCTGCGTAAGATTTAATACCTTCAATCCTCCTGTCCCTCTGGGGTGGGCACTATGGCTCCTGTTAATGGACAAGGTACTAAAACTGAAGAGGCTACATGCTGCTGGGGACCCCACGGGAGGGAGGTGGCCTGGCAGGAACCCGAGCCTGGCATGAGCCTCCCTCCACACCCATGGGGGTTGGAGGAGCTGGTCTCTCATGGGATCCAATGTCATCGAGTATGGGAGCTGGATGTGGCTGCAGGTCAACCTCATCTGAGCCCGTCCTATTTTAGAGCATTAGAGGCAGCTGGTGCCCGAGGGGTGGCAGGGCCAGGCCCCTGATCCAGGACTTGCTGGATGTGCCTGCCTGTCTCTCCAGGATGGCAGTCTTCTGTCTGCGGCCTTGCATAGGACACACATACACACACACCACGCACAAGTGGGTTTCCTCCCTTCTTTCATATCCATGTTTTCTTCTATTTCTGCTTCCTCTAGAAACTATTTTCGTTAGCAGCAGTTTGTTTTCCTGGGGAGGGAGACTGTACCTGGCTCTAGAATCTGACTCCTGTTGGAATTTCAACTTGTGGCCAATTCCCTGGGTTGTGTCGGCTTATGGGAAAGGACAGTGACCCATTACCAGGCTGGAGCTGTCATTTCACTGATGACAGTCTCTTTCCTTTCTTGATCGTCTAGAAGGCCCCAGGGCCCTATGAGGATTAGTAGGGGGCTAGGGATCCTCTGGCACTGAGCCCTTGAACCCATAAGAAGATGAGGCCTTGCAAATTGGGGAACTAGGGGAAGGCTTGGGCTGCCCCTGACCCCTGGCCTCACCAGGAAACAGCATTGAGAAGTGTCACCTGCCCAAAAGCAGAACCAGGTCTGGGCCCACTCCCTGTGAGCAGGCAGTGGCTGTTCTCTGGACAGGAAGTGCGCCTCTCTCTTTAGAGTGTGGGCAGGCCATGGTCATGGGCCAAAGGGACACTTCCTTTCCTGAATTCAAGGCCACAGATAATACTCTCAAAAGCTGGTCTATGAGATCTGACCACTCAGGGCCACTGGCTTTGAGCTTGATGGGTGCCTACAGTAGGAGGCGCAGTCTAGATCATTTGGCTGAGGGCCAGCCCTTGCTGGTGTGCTGGGTCGAACAGTGGCCCCCAGGAGATATATCCACCTGGAACCTGTGACTAGAATCTTATTTGGAAAGTCTTTGCAGATGTAATTAAGTAAAGGATTTCAAGATGAAATCATCCTGGATTACCTAGATAGGTACTAAATCCAATGACAAGTATCCTAAATGACAGAAGAGACAAAAACACAGAGAGACATAAGGGAAGACTGTGCGAAGATGGAGGCAGAGATTGGAGTGAGGCAGCTACAAGCCAAGGATGCCTGGGGCCATGAGAGGCTGGAAGAAGCCCGGAAAGATCCTCCCCTAGAGCCTCTGGAGGGAACGTGGCACTGCTGATACCTTGAGTTCAGACTTCTGGCCTTCAGGACTGTGTGAGAAAAAATTCCCATTGGTTTAAATCGCCAGTTTATGGCGCTTTGTTACAGCAGCCATAGGACACCAAATGAAGACCACACGGAGAAGGAGAGCTGGGGAGAGTAGGAGGGAAACAGTGCCCACTGGGAGCAAAGGCTCTGGCCTGGAGCCTGCAGAGCCAGTTCAGGACCCAGGAAAATGTAAGGCGGCCTCCTGGCACCTCTGTTCCCTCCAAGGGAGCCCCTGGAACTAGAAAGATAGTATGTTTTGGTGTAGTCTGCACAGTCAGATGCTTTGGGTATCTCCTGCTGGACTACTGGAAAAAAAAATTTTTTTTCCCCTCTTTAATCTCCCCCTCTTCCACCTCTCACCTACGGATGTTGCCATCTCCCTTTTTTAAGAAGTGGATCTCTGAAGGTGGGGCATCTCCCCCGACATGCTTGCGGTGCATACCCAGGGCCCTCGGGGCCTGGCGCACTCGAAGCCTGGCATTCCCAGTGCACTCGGGGGTCCTGGCGCACCCGGGGCCTGGAGCACCTGGGGTATGGTCCGTGGCTCGAACCCAGGACCTTCTGCATGTAAAGCAGACATGCTACGCATTACACTATGGAGCCACCCTGAAAAAATTTTAAATAGGAGGTGAAGGTCTTTGTGAAGAAGAGGACAAGGCCCATGGGACAGGTGGGTGGCTCCAGGTGTCTGATTAATTATGGGTGGCACACACTGTGGGTGGGCGGTGGTGCCCACACAGGTGTTGAGCTGGGGCCCAGCAGCACTCAAGGAAGGACCACTGGATGGCTGGGGGAGGAAGAAGGGCCGTGGGGAGAATGACCAGCTTCCGAGAACCCCTGAGGACTGGGGCCAAAGGAGACTATTTATTGAAGGCCTCTCATCCACACCACTACCCATCAGAGCCTGGGCAGCAGGAAAAAGGAAGGAAGCCAGAAGCTGAAGGATTCACAGAAACAACATTTCTGTTTATGTTCTGAATGTGAACTGTCAACTGGAATGATCATTAGACGGACAGGAGAATCGAGATAGCCTGGAATCACTCCCCAGTCCCTGTCACACTTGAGGACCTGTCCCTTCCTGAAATGCTGGTGCCTTTTCTCAGCCTCCAGGAGCCTGGTGCTCAGGTCTACCCAACTCTAATATACAGGTTTCTCGCCCTGCTGCTCAGAGCATCACCTAAAACCTTTACAAATCCTGCTACCACTGAAAACCCTCACACCAGATGTGGAGGGGGGAGGATTTCTTCAAGTGACCAGGCAATGGGCTGTGCCAAAATATCTTTTTTTTCTTTTACTCTGAAATAGTTTTATTGGCTTATAAGAACTTCTTTGCAAACAAAAAATACCCCAAAATACTACAAAGTATTAAATCGCGATTAGTATTTTTTTAAACCAATTGAAACGACAGAGAATATGCATTTTTTAAAGAAAAAAATCCTACAGAACTGAATTCTGAAATGATGTCATGGCTTAAAAACTATAACAAATAGATAATTCCTTATAACATTAATTTTTTGCACAAAGCTGCCAGATATTTTCATAAGCATAACTATTGCCTTGAATGCAAATAAACACAATTTCAGTGTTACATATAGTTGCAGTAACTGTGCCTGCATCTAAGGAACTCACATTTCTGGCACAAATGTTGGTTTGTTTAACTTCCACCAGGCAACTACTTCACAATCCAGTTACCACCTACCCACTTACCCATCTACCCATCTACCCATCCACCCACCCACCATGAATCTTTCCATCCACCCATCCATATAGCCATCCATTGATTCCCTGACCCATCCACGCATCCATCCATTTTTCCATCCAACTGTCCACCTGTCCATCCATTTATCCATTCATCCTCCTGTCCACCCTTCAGTATTTCCTTGGACAACTGCCTCACTTTGTTATCCAGTATCACATCTCCTTCTGGCTAAAGAGGCATATGTTTGGCAAATGCCAGAGTCCACATCAACTCTGCCTGTGGTATCCAAGACTGATCAAATTAGGAACCTCATCAAGACCAAAAAACAGGTTGATCTCTCCTTGCCTGTTCCACCTATACTCCCAACCTCAACCTGATGCTCTGACCTTCACATCAAGGACTTAAACTCCCACTGGCTTCCTTGTACGATTCACAAATGTCTATTCTCGGGCTGGCTGCCTTCTGTAGGGACACCCAGGACCCCAGACTAAGGCTAGAGCACACAACTCAGGCGGCTGCCAACTTACCCTCTCACGATGCCGCTCTCCAGGTAGTTGACCTGGATGAATTTCCCAAATCGGCTGGAATTGTTGTTGTGGGCTGTTTTGGCGTTCCCAAAAGCCTGTGAGGAACACAAAAATAGGTTTTCAGATGGTGAGGATGAAATTTCTACAGGCCTCAGCCTGTAGCCTCAGAGCTCCCTCTGGGCATCACAGACACTCATGCAGTGGAAGTCACTCAGCGGTCCACGTGACGACTGAAGAACACAAAGGTGTGCAGTCCAGGCACACTCCAACAGGTTGTGAGAGGGGCTCCAGTTTTAAGTCTGGGAAGTTAAAAATGCCAATCATCAGGACTGTTTCCCAGTTATAATTTTCATATAGCAAACTCCAGCCTGTGGGCCAAATCCAGTCTGCTGTATGTTTTTTTACTGCCTATGAGCCAAGAGTGGTTTTTACATTTGTAAATGGCTTTGAAAAAACACTCGAAGAAGAGTAATATTTCCTGACGTGAAAATTCTATTCATGTCTGTGTCCATAAATGAGGTTTTCCTGGCACATGGCCAGGTCTGTTCATTTATGGATTGTCCACGGCTGCTTCTGTGCTGTGAAGGCAGAGTAGCTATGACAGAGACTGCTTGGCTTTTGAAGCCCAAAATATTTATTATCTGGCGCCTTCCAGAAAGGCACCAACCAGGCTGGGCATGAGGGAGCAGGCATGGAGCTAGGTCTCGCCCTGGAGGGGTCCTGCAATTCTGTGTGATAACAAGCAGTTCACAGCAAATTATTATTTTTTAATTGGGGTAAAATTGGTATAAAACTAACCATTTTAAAGTGAACAATTCCATGGCGTTGAGTTCACAATGTTGTGCAACCACCACTGCTAGTTCCAGAACATGTCTATCACTCCAAAAGGAGACCCTGTCACTCCCTACCCCCTCCCCTGGCCCCTGGCAACCACTGATCTACCTTCTGTCTCTGGATTTGCCTGTTCTAGACATTCACATGAGTGGGGGTGTACGATACGTGGTCTTTGTCTGGCTGTTTTCTTTCACTTGGTATGTTTTCGGGTCTCACCTGTGCTGTGGTATGACTCAGGGCTTCATTTGCAAAATGGAAAGGAAAGTATACATAGTGTATGGAGTGTGCAGCCAGGTGGGGTCCCTCCTGGGGCCTCCCATGTGACCACCAACCAGATTATGACAGAGAACACCCTCTGCCCCCCACCCAGGTTCCTGGGGTTCCCCCTTCCCATGTGGTACCCACTGTCCCCTGAGGGATTAAGACAAGGAGAGGGTGTGATGGGGCCTTAGGGAAACTCAAGGCAGGAAGGTGCCTGGGGGTTGGTTTCCCTGTTTCAAGGAGAGAGAGGCTAGCTGAGGTGGAGGCGGCGGGGCTGAGGGAGGGGTAACATGGGGCGTGTAATGCTCCAGAGCCACATGGACAAAGGGAAGCTTGGTGGCAGCAAAAAGGGTATCAGGCTGACAATGTTGCCATTTGAGGAGGCTGAGCTGCATGGGGAGGTTGGGTGGGGGTAAAGGCAGCAAGGAGGAGGTGGCAAGGCCACCGCCAAGGTCTGATGGGGGTTGGGGGGATAGTCGGCCAGGCTTGCAGAGGAGTCAAGAACGAGATGTGCTAACATGGAGAGGAGACTGGGTTTTCTTGAAGCTCTCATTCTGTAATGGATGAATGTAGGTGAATCACTGATCAGAGCTCCTGATGGGGCAGCCTGAAGGCAGAAGCCCCATAAATGAGCATCTGTGGGAAGGCCCAGGACACTTTCTTGCTGAATGGCTCCATTCATCAGGGCCTGAGACCAGGATGGGACCCCGACAGGGTGCATGTGCTGGTCACGCTCCTGGCTGATGGGGTCATGGGATGAGTGAATTCTTGCTTCATTGCTCCAGGGGCTCCAGGCCTGGGGAACAGACCTCCCTGAAAAACCTGAGTTAACCACCAAGTCACCAAGTGGGAGAGTGATAATGAACGAGAGTCCCCGAGGAGGTGACCTGGCCCCAAACTGGGGGGAGGGTCTGCTCAGGGTAGGGGTAACAGCTGGGCACTTTGGGGGCTCCACATGGCTGTGTATAGGTGGAACCCAGCCCAAGGAGGCACTTTCCCAAGTCAGATGGCGACCACAGAGCCGAGCCTTCCTCTTCTTCACAAATGCCTCCTTGGGACCTATCAGCTGCTGGGTTTTGAAAAAGTGTTTGGAGGGTTTGATTAAACCCTGGGCTCATTACCAGGTCCTGACGGGTCAGACCGAGCTGTTGACCGCTGGCTGTGCACCAGCAGCTGGGAACAAGGCCAGTGTCCACTCGGCTTTACTGAGTGTTTCTGGAACCCAGTGCAAGGCTCCGGAACTCGGCAATGCTGACACTTAGGACTGGATGATCCTCTGGGGTGGGACTGTCCTGTACAGTATGGGGTGCTGAGCAGTGTCCCTGGTCTCTACCTGCCAGATATCAGTACACATGGGACAACCTAAAATGTCCCCAGAGATGGCTAAATCATGCAGGCTGAGCAGCACTGCTGTATACAGATGCAAGTACATGGGCTTTGCTGGGCCGGGCCTTCTGGGCCTCACTGGACTCTCCCTTCTGTTCTGAGGGCCCTCACGTGCAGGAGCTCAGGGCTCCTCTGGGGAAGAAAACAGTCTTGCCAGTTTAATTTCCATTTTCTCCTAAGTTCAGCCTTAGAACTTTGGGGCAAAGCCTGTGAGCCCTTGAGGTGCCGCTCTGGGAAGCAGACAGCGAATCCATCTTCTTTCGCTCCATGCTCGCCAGAGCCTGTGGGTTGGCATCTGAGCTGAGGACGGCTTGCTCTGTGCTAAAATGAACTCCTGTGGGCGAGCCTGTGAAGTCCTGCCTGTTCTAAGTACGAGCAGATGACAAAGCGGCCCCAAGTGGGCTCCCTACTGGGGCAACAGGCCTCTCTGTGACGGGGTCCCTGCAGCACCCAGGTCTGGGGCCTGACTCAGAGGCACCCCAGAAATGCAAATTTGCACCCCAAAAAGCCACGGTGGTCCTTTCTGAACTCAGGATAAGTCTCCACGGTGATTTCTAAGGAAACAGGCAGACTTGGCATCCTGGAAACAAGAGGGAATGTCTTGGGGATGTGGGGCCCACTTGCACTCTGGTTCTGTGATTACTAGCGCGGGGCTTGGTGACCTCACGTGTCTGGAATGCGGTCTCAGCACACTGTGACTTTTCAAAGCCAATCTAAAAATATCCGGTTGGTGCTATTATACATCGGAGGAGGAGGAAACGCTGGTCTGGTGCTTGCTGCGAGGGGAGCTATTGTGTAGCTGCTCCTGGGGCTGTATGGGGGCACTTGTATGGCCTCCATGCATGAGGGCGGCTGGTGTGCTTCGTGGTTCACGTGGGGCCAGGGGTGGACAGCAGGGAGGAAGCAGGACCCAGGCGCCAGCAATGATGCGATGTAATCTGGCCCTGGGGCTGGGGAAGCCACATGTTTATGCCATCTGCCCACCAGGCCAGAAAACCCAAAACCCTGTTACATGCTATGAGGGAAAGGACTCTACTTTTTTGGAAATACTTTTTCTCCTTTTATAATATAAAATACACTTTTCTAATATAAGTTGTATACTTTGGGGAAAAAACCCATAAAGAGATGACCCAAATTCAACTCTGCCCTGGGTCATGGTTTCTAGGTACAACTCATAAAGAAGCTGCACCCACCTTCCTCAGACAGGGGCAGACCAGGCCTGGGCTGGGGGGCGGTGGGGGGCTGCTGTGTGCCCATTAGGCGGCCCCCACCCCTCTAAGGATGCTAAAGACCAGGCAGGGGGCGCCCAGCTGTCTAACTGCCCTTGTCTTGGAGATTCTTTTCAGAGATTCAAAGAAGTTTTTAAAATTGGAGACATCCAGGGTTGAGCACTCCACTTACACATTTCAAGAAGGTGCATATTCTATGTAAATAGAATAGTTCTTCTCTTAGTTGAAATGTACGGTAACTATTTTAGGAAGACTGGTGATGACAGCATCACACAATGACCATGGCGTCTACCAGCCCCACACCAGGCCTGCGGTTGGCTTCCCACTCTTCCTTTTTGCTTGCATGACTCTAAGAAACAGATGTGCAACCCCCATTTCAGGTGAGGGAACTGAGGCACAGAAATCAACAGACCTGCCTAAAGTCTGAGAGCAAGTTTGAACCCAATGACCCCACTCCCAGCCCACACCCTGCCTGTTAGACTCTCAGTTCCTGCAGCCTGGGCTCCTTTTTCAGACCCGTTCTCAGAGCCCAGGGCCAGGCGAGTGGGCCTGAGACTTTTTAGGTTGCCTGCCTGCCAAGGCCCAAGCCCTGAGTTCACCACACTTAGCCTCTCCCACGTTTCACACGAAAACCGAACGAGCCTTGAGATAGATCGCATTAGGCAAACAGTATTTTGTTTTCAGATGTCAGAACCCAAAGCCTGTGGAATAAGCTTGAAAGGCAAACAAACATACTCACCTGTCTCCAATATCAACAGGTGAGCCCTAGGTTAGGGTCTTCTGGAGAGAAGTCCCCCAGCTTCGCTGCACAGGGCAGTCATCCTTCCAGCCAGGCTGAGGTGGCCAGACTTGGGATAGCTCTATCACCTCCAGATTTATCTGAGGCCATTCTTTCCCAGAGGAAAATTCTAGCTCATTCTAGTGGTTTCATCTTGGTTGGCCTTCTCTGTTTTCCTGATCTTCTAGCCACAGTGACTTCACTTTCCAAGTGTTTGTGATTCATTTGTGTTTTCGTTCATTCCCACACTCATTCATTCACTTGACAACAACACAACAGCTGCTGTGTGCCTGGCACTGTTCTGGCCTCAAGAACACCCACTTCTCCTGTGAGACTCTGCCAGGGATGCCCCACACATCCACTTTGGCTGATATTGGATGTCATTGCTTCTGGGAGCATCCACAACCTGTCTGGGCAAGGTGGGCTTCCTGCTGCCTCCTATGACCTTGATGCTGCTCCTCCCTCTGCAGTGCCACCTCTGGGTGAAACTTCTGTTCCCCGAGCCATGCAGGACTTTGGGATCTCTTGTGTTTGGTCAGGGACAGGCACTGATACAAAGGAGTAATTGGTTTTGCTGGGACAGGCTGAGACTGGTCAAAGAACACTG